GTATTTTTTTAGCAATAAAGTATTTTTTAATTAAGGTATGTACATTCTTTTCAAACATAATGCTACTGCACCCTTAACAGACTACCAAACCAAAAAATCCGTTGCCATCAAGTCGATTCTGACTCATAACAATCCGATAGGACTGAGTAGAACTGCCCCATAAGTTTCCAAAGGAGCGGCTAGTGGATTTGAGCTCCTGACCTTTTGATTATATGCGCTGGAAACCAAAAAAAAATTCATGTGACTCACTTTATTGTGATATTTGCTTTATCGCAGTGGTCTGGAACCAAACCCGCAATGTCTCCGAGGTATGCCTTGTATTAGATATCAATCTATTTTTATATAACCCATTAGTACTTAAATAAGTATACTAATTGTACTATTAAATGTTCTTTAGGTCTCTGACAACCTTCTAAAAAACCTAGTACTCTAAATGATTAAATGCAAACACCATTTAAACATGGGCTTAGCTGGTTCTCTCCTGACATCTAGTGTTTTTGATCCGTAAATGCACAGTACTCCAGTTAATTTTAAACTAAGGTTCCTAGGTGGCGCAAATGGCTATGATTAGAATGAAAATGTAATATGGTATAAAAACTTTAACCATTTTAGAAAGAGATTAAGTGGAATAAAAATCCAAGCTAAATAATAACAAACTTTGTTTCTCTGGAGCAAAATACCTTTTTCCCTTAATTCTTCCCACATGAGACAATTCTTAAATGGTGTATTTTCTTATTATTGTGAGAAGTAAAGACGCAGACCCAGCATGTACATTAGGGCTGTACGATTACTGTAAAGAGGGGAAATGGGGGAAGAGGCACTTATTGAGGGCCTCTATGTACCAGGCAAGTGCTTGCATACTTTAACATGGGTTTCCGCTGTCCTTTTACAAGCTACGGAGGCCTGGTGGTGCAGTGGTTAAGAGCTACAGCTGCTAACCAAAAGGTTAGCAGTTCGAATCCACCACCCACTTCTTGGAAACCCTATGGGGCAGTTCTACCCTGTCCTATAGAGCCACTATGAGTCGGAATCGACTCAACTGGCAATGGGTTTTCGAAGCTACTAGGCTGTGCCAAGTCACGGAACCTCAGCCTACTGATAAGGTATTGAGAATGTTCCTACTCTACAGTGTGGAAATGGAGACATAGACAACACCCCCTTATAAAATATCTTGTGCTGGACCACACACTACATAAATTTGTGGGCACTCAGAAATAGCTGGCCAAAGAGAAAAGAGTGGCAATGCCTCCTCTTTAAGTTCAACATTTCCAGTCCATTTGGGACCTCCCACACAGGTAAGAGAACAGGAAACGTGGAGGTAAGGAATTTGGCTACTGTTCTCCAAGAGCCCTTAGAAACTGAAACCAGCTGTAGGCTGCGGAAGGAGACGCAGAAGCTGAAAGAATGGTCTACACTTCAGCAATCCTTCCTCTCTTTGTTCTTTCTTTTCCTTGTCCTAACCTGCCCATGCTCCTTCACTCACACTTTGTCTTCCAGCCTCTGCTTCTCTCCTGCTAACAGAGAAGTCTGGATCCTTAATATTGAGAGCCTGGTCTGCTGACTGGGACCATTGGCATCACCTGAGAGCTTGTTAGAAGGGCTGGTTCTTGACCCAATCCTCAGTCTACTGAACCAGAATCTGCATTTTAACAAGATCCCTAGGTGCCACTCCTATGACATAGAATTTTGAGATGCACCTGCTCTAGACCAGAGGTGGGGATGGCGGGTGGGGCGGCAATGTTCCCGCTTACAAACCAACTCAAGGAACAGAAGTAGCCAGCCAGAGCCATGGCTTGACTCAATGTAGAGTCCTGGGGCTACAAGTGAATCTGCCTTGAGCACGGCAGAGATGTGGCCTCCATCCTTTGTCTTCAGAAACAAACCTTCCAGGACTTCCTAGTGTATATTTCTCTAAGCAGCAGCGGTCGCTGGCCCCTGCTGAGAGAGGCAGTATCACCCTTAGATCCAGGCAAGCAAGTAGGGTCTCTGTTCCGGGCTTACCCCTCAGGGGCTCCCACACTTTGGGGTGCCTTCCTCAAAATGTTCTAAATCCCTCCCCAGTGCCTGGGTCTGCAGTGTTATCTGGGCTGGGCTCCCCAAGCCCGGGCCTTGTCCTGCATGGGTCCTGGTCATGGGAAGCACCTACCTCAGTATTTCCTAAGTAACCCTCCCTTCAGTGGCTGACGGGCTAAGGCTGGCAGAGCCAGACAGGCAGGGCCATCTGAGCCTAGCTGGGAACTGCATGGGCCCTGAATCCCGTTCCTCCCCTTCAAGGCACTGTCCAAACCTCTCATCCACGTGTGGGGTCAACCAGATGCCCTGTGAGCTCTGGGACTCGTGTCTTGGGGGTTGTCCCAGGTCCTGTGGCCAGGCCCCAGTTACTGGAGGGCCGCCTGGCAAGCGTAATGCTTTTCATGAGACTGCATGAGCTTAAATGACCAGGATGGTGGTAATGTGCTGATGTGGGGAGTCAAGTTTAGGGATCTGGGTTAGGGATCTGGGTTACCAGTGGTCCACTGCCAGACCACCACAAATAAGGCTTGAGCCATGTATGAAGGCCTGTCAGCTCTTGCTAATCCATCTTCCGGCTATGGTACCACCTTTGATTTACAGCACCCAAAAGTCGAGGAGTAGCAACACACCTTTTACCTATGCACCTTCCGCCACTGGCACCAAGGTGGCCACCCCATCCCCTCTACAGGCTGGCAGGCAGTTGCCCGGTGGTGGCCACTTCTCTCATCAAAGAGCTAGCCAGCCTGTCGCTCAGCAGCAATAGGACGCTGTCCCACCTTGTCTCCATCAATGTATGATGGCAGGCTCTCCCGGGACAATCTCAAGCCAGGCTGGACAAGAGACAGACATTCCTTACCTGCACGGAACTGTTTTTCTCACCTGCCCACAGGCCTTCTCCTGACTCCTGCTGGTGTGGAAGGCAGAGGTGTGGTCAACTCTGAGAGATTCCATTCTCAGAAGGCAGCGATTGTGTATAAAAAGTTCAAAGGAATACACACATGGAAAAACGGTAAATTTAACAAGAACAAAAGAACAGATGATTGTTCACACTTTCTTGCATTTGTGGGTATCAATAATAAAGCACAGTATGAGCCTTTGGGAGTAACTCGAAGTCAGTATTGTTATTAGGGAACTGCAAAGACAAGAAAATTGGTATTTCAGTACAAAGAGGTTCCAAAGAGACCTGGCTTTGTGAGTAGTAACAGTGCTGCTACCTATTCCTAATGTGGGGGCTATGAAATTAATCAGGAATGGCCATTGGACAACACAGGAACTACAAAGATCTTCACCCGCACAGATAGAAATTAAATCAGCCACGTTTTTATTAAAGTTCCTTCTTGGCCAACTATATGTATAAATCCCTTTCAATGTCTATGCTCCGTTTGTCCTTGTTGCCCAAAGATTATGTGTTTTCAGATTGCTTTCTTATCTTTCTGCACATGAAATCACTCATAATCTCCTCCAACATCTCTCTCAGCCCTTCTCTGCTGCTCACGTGTCCACTTCTCTAGAGCAGCTCTGGGGACCAGGAGAACAGATGCATAAGCATCATCTGTCATATACAGCTCGCAAACTCCCAGCTCCTGATCCTAGCAGCTTGCTTTTCCTTAAGGAATTCCTCAGTTTCAGAGTAGGTGAAGGCATATGGGGAAAATAGCACAGATTGAGAAGCATATTAAAATGGACACTAGAAAGTAAATGCATAACAGCTTTAATTATTTTAGATGGAAAAAAGTGTACTCACAAGTAGTCATAAATATTTTGTGAGAACCTACAGTGTTAGGATTCAAAAGCTCAAGACACAGAGTCTGCTTTCAGGATATGGACACTCTAACTGTGGTGCTAACACAGCAGAATGGGGGAAAATACACATACACACACACACACACATTTATTGTATTTGTATATATTTTATATCAAAACCAAAACCAAACCTGCTGCCATTGAACCCATTCAGACTCATAGGGTTTTCTTGGCTGTGATCTTTAGAGAAGCAGATGGCCATGCTTTTCTTTCATGACGTTGCTGGGTGGGTTTGAACTCCCAACCTTTAGGCTAGTAGTCAAGCGCAAACCATTTGCTGCTCCCAGAAATCCAGATAACATATGTAATATATATCAGTAATATATAGTATATAAAATATTATAGATAATATATTGCATGTAATTATATACTACATACAACATACATTTATACACATATATTAATATTTATAATATGTATTATATATTAAATATTAATATATTTTTATATTACACTTACAAAGACATATGGAATATATAAAATACACACATTATATATTACATATAATTATATAACATACATATATACATATATTTATATTTATTGTATTTATATATATTATACATGTATATATATTGCATATAATTATATACACATACATACACAATAAATACTTCTGAGCCTGAAAGAAGGTAGGAGCCCTGGTGGCCCAGTGGTTAAGAGCTTGGTTGCTAACCAAAAGGTCAGCAGTTTGAATCCACCAGCCACTCCTTGGAAACCCTACGGGGGCAGTTCTACCTTGTTCTATAGGGTTGCTATGAGTCAGAGTCGACTTTGACAGCAATAGGAAGGAAGGAAGACAACACTTTAGAGGGAGGATTTAAAGAGTTTTCAGCAGGGATGAGGTGAATGGGTTGGAGGTAGCATTTATTTCTAGAATCAGTTAGAAAAATAACATTTTCAATAAATTTATTTTTTTCCAATCTTTGGATACAATAAGCCTTTTCCATAAAGTACATTATGGTTATTTATCTGTCTTACTATTTGATCGTCAGAAGTGATGTAATGTTATATACTGAAAGAAGAATCAGAGCGAGTCACATCACAGAAAAGGAATCTCCATGACAATCTCTATTACTGCCATGAATAACAAGTTATGAGAATAGTTCAATCATGGAATTACTCGGAGTTGCTCTATTAACACATCAAAGGCTTTCAATCAAAGATATAACTTTGCTGGAATGAAGAGAAATTTCCAGTATAAATCGGACGAAACTGATAAATCAGTGCCTCCCGCTCTTCATCTTCAGATTCAAAGTGATGATTATTTTTCCGAGCTGCAAGAAAAATAGTTAATTTTAAAAAATGATAGGATGAAGATGATAAAATTTTCAAAAAGACTACTTTCTAATATTTCTTCCTGCAATTAGCATTAAGTGGAAAAAATATCACTGAGAGGAGAAATCTTTGCAAAACTTCCCCCTGGTAAAGGGGCGTCTGGTTTATGGCACAGTTACCTACTGATAGAGCAGCTATACTTTCCTAGCACCAGGCCTCACATGGCACTTGCTCCCTCATGAGCTCACACACTTACTAAGTGCCTACTGTGTGCAAGAGCTGATGCAGGCCCTGGGGAAGGAAACAGAAACAGGACAAGGTCCTACCACTCAACAAGTTTAATTAAGCAACCAACACAAACACAAAATCATACACTGTAATGTGCATAGAGTATGTCTTCAGTGAGACGCTACAGGAGTGAAGAGGATGGAGAAAGTGGCGCAGGTGGAGAAGTGAGGCAAAGCGCATTTTCCACAGATAAAGCAGAGAGATGAAAAACAGGGAGGCAGTATTATGGGCACAATGAAGTTTGGTATGGATAAAGAGTGGACGCGTGGCCTGGAAGCTTGGACTTTCTCCTATAGTCAAAATAATTACTGGTTTTTATTAAACACATGACATTTTTACAGTGAAGCATGCGTTGTTGTTAGTTGCCCTGGAGTTGATTCTGACTCATGGTGACCCCATGTGTTGCAGAGCAGAACTGTTCCATAGGGTTTTCAAGGCTATGAACTTTCCGAAGCAGATCACCAGGCCTATTTCCAGAAGAGCCTCTAGAAGGTGCCAAACACTGAACCATTTGAGCCAGCTGTGGACCCCTAACGCATTGCCACTGAGTCAATTCCGACTCATGGCAACCCTGTAGGACAGAGTAGAACTGCCCCATAGGGTTTCCAAGGCTGTAATCTCTATGAAAGCAGACTGCCACTGCCAGCGAAGCAGCTGGTGGGTTCAAACTGCATAAAGACAAAGTACAGCCTGTCCTCTGATGCTACTGCAATAGATTTGCTCGAGCCACTGCTGTTCTCAGCCACACAGATTTTTTTCACTCAAAAACCCATGACATGAACATGTTTCCTTGGACTAATACTGCACATGGGAGCTCTTTTGGGTTTTCTTGTTCAATCCTGAAACCATTCATTCAACTGAGCACAATTCCAAACAAGAGTGAACTCAGTAGGAAGTTTCTGACTTCAGAGAATAGGCAGGAGGGTGGATGGCAAAAAGACTTAGGGTAGCCTTGGAGATGGGACTGAAACAAGGCTCACTGATGTGCTAAAATGGCCATGTCTCATCAGAGTGACACCCTATCCCTTGCAAGTTTTATCTGTACCTCTGTCTTACAGCCATATCACTCAACTAAAAAATAAGCATCTACAAGCAAATTCTCAATTTTACCCAAATATAATATAGCATGAAAATGTTTTCATCAGCAAAAAACAGCCAAAACTTATTAACTTTTGTCAATGTGCCAATGCTTCCAGGAAGGTAGCCTTAAATCACAAAATGGATGTGTGTGTGTGTGTATGTATGTATACAGATGTATAGATAAAAACAGACACATAGATAGATGATAGATAGACAGACAGATAGATGGGTATAGTCAATCTATATTCCGTATTTTTATGCAAACAATGCGTGTCTTCTATGTCTGTTTGCCAACCATGCTCTCTCCCTGCAAGGTAGTTTTGTAAGCACGCCATGCTGACTTTTTTACAGCAACATATACAACAAAATGGCTAGTAGCACTTATGATAATACCTCTCAGGGGGAGGGTATGGTTGGCAAACAAACACAGAAGGTACACATTATCTACATAAAAATACGATAAGTGTCTTCAAACAAATAATATCTAATGCTGAGAGAATTTTATCGTTAAAGCATTATTCTTAAAAAGAAGAGTAACTGGGGAGAATCTAAATGAAAATATTCAAGGAAGGAATAAAAACAGTGCAATGTTTTCATGCTGCTGTTGAAGAACTGTGCCCACTTTAGAGTGTACGATACTGTTACGTGAAAAAATTGTCCTGATTTTACCTGAATATACAAGATCTCAACTGCAGAGTTTTCATATTTTTAATATTTTTGTCTTTTTTTTATTAGTAAACATGTAGGGCTTACAGAATATTTACAGAGCACAAGAGTACACAAAAATTTAGATGAAGGCAATTTCCTTCAAAACGACACTAGAACAATAAAACTATATACCCATATATTACCTTCAGAAACGAAGAACTCTGCTAAATAAAATGCAGCCTTCACAGCATTAGGTGAACGGGAAATGTTGTCATTTCCCCACTCATAAGGTGGTTTCTCTGGATGCCACTGGACACCATATACTGGATACTTATATCCTGCAGGTAGAACACAAATCTATTATGCTGGAAGTAGTATGAACAGTCTAGGATGTTACTTTAATTACATTTCATGTCTATGTAAAACATTATGTCAAAGAAAATTGTACACATTTTTCTTAGATACAAACTAAAGAATTTCAGTTCAAGGTCAATATGAAAATTCCTAATATTTCACTGATTTTCAATCTTCTACAGTAATGGATCAGTGAAAACAAGTGAAACCCTCCAAGAGATGGACTGACATGGTAGCTCCAACAACTGACTCAAATTACCAACAATCGCGAAGATGGTGCAAGACCAGGCAATGTTTCCTTCTGTTATTCAGATGCAGTGAATTACTTAACATGGCCTTTCTAAACATAGTCTTTGTGACTCCCACACAATGACTGGGTAGGACTATGCAAACTAAAGTGCTTGTAGCCCACCAAGGAGATTGGATAGCTTGCTGTTAATGCAAATAAGGTGTATGGAACCTGTGATGGCTAAGGTTATGTGTCAACTTGGTTGGGCCATGATTTTCAGTGGTTTGGCAGTTATATATGTAATTTGGCAGTTATGCGATGACATCATCACCCTCCATTCTGTGGTCTAATGTAACTGTCCTCCATTTTGTGATGTGTTGTAAATCCTAGCCCCTATACCTGTGGTTATGGTCCCATTTGGGAGTAAGTTGACCGTTACGTTAATGAGGCAGGATTAGGGTGGGATGTAAGTCACTGCCTTACTAGAGGGTGTGACTCAAGTCACCACCCTTACCCTAGTCACCACCGTTACTATCCTACTGAAGTCATACCCTTGCACTGTCTTGCTCAATTAAGAGGAGTTTCCTTGAGGGTATGGTCTACATCCAATACATGTGAATGCTCTGTCAAAGTTCTCTCTCTTGCTCTGGATCCTGCATCTGTCTTGTCATCATCTGACCTCCGGTTCTTGGAACCTGAGCCAGCAGCCTATCGTCTGACCTAATTCACCAGCTTCCACAGCCTTGTGAACCAGCAGCCTGTTGTCTGACCTGCCAATCAGCCCCTGTAACCACATGAGTCAGGCAAGGCCTCCAGCCTGATGCCTGATCCACAGATTTGGGACTTGCCAACCTTCACATCTGTGTGAACCATTTCCTTGATGGTTCATGAGTTCTGTGAGATGTTGCAGCAAATTATGGAACCCAAAGATGAAAACAAAAATACTGAGAGGAGGAGTAGTCGATGTTAGAGATGATGGAGTGGTACAGCAGTTTGGAAAAACTGGACATTTGGGACACCTTTAACCTCTGCCTCACAGGAATCACCTTTGTGCTGATCCTTACAAAAGACATTAAGTTGTACATAAGGTTGCTATAAATTGGAGCCAATTCGACAGCAGCCAACAACACAGGATCAACACAATTCACTTCTCCAGATGATCACAGTAAAATATTTTAGCCTTGGAATATATCCCAGTTCAACAGTGAAGTGCACAATGGATTAACGACACAAGTTTCTCCCATGATAGGCCTCTCTTTTTCCTCCTTCATAACACATTTTCATTCCCTCCCATAATGACTAATAATGTTGGTGTTAGAATGGGTCCTTCTGTGTAAGCCAGCTTGTCTCAGCCAAAATTAGGTACTCTTCTCAGTCTGTGGAATGATTCATCGCTTGGTGCTGGTCATTTTTAAAATAGTTTTAAGCATTTAAAAGTTGGCATGAAAGAATCTTGTAACATAATTCAATTATTTTTAGAATCATTAAATATCTTTATAGGCAAAATAATATAATTCCTGGAATTTGCTTCAAAAAATTAAACACATAAATAAACCCAGTGTGTCTAGAAGCATCTGCTGTGCCACATCCTAGATAGCACTTGTTGTCAGATTTTTAATTTTGCCAATCTGGTGGGTGTGAGGTGATTTTTCACTTTGATTTCCATTTGCATTCCCCAATCAGTAATTACACTGTGCAACTTACCATACGTTTATACCAAAAAACAAAACCTGTTGCCGCTGAGTTGATTCTGACTCATAGTGACCCTATATGACAGAGGACAACTGTCCCATAGAGTTTCCAAGGCTGTAATTTTTACAGAAGCAGACTGCCACATCTTTCTCCTATGGATTCGAACCGCTAACCTTTCAGTTAGCAGCCAAGCACTTAACCACTGTGCCACCAGAGCTCCTTACCATATGTTTATAGGCCATTCAGATTTCTTTTATCCATTCTCTTATCCACTTTTAATGGGTTGTGTTTTTCTTAATTCATGGTTGTACTTTATATATGCTAGACATATATCCTTTCCTAATTATATACACATTACAAATATCTCCTTTTTTCCCATCTATATTATTTTTTGAGGAACACAAGTTCTTAAATTTAATTTGGTCAAATTAATCAATATTTTCTTTTATGGTTTGTGTTTTTTGTTCTTACAAACTCCTTCCCTTACATAAGATCATAAAGATGTTCTCCTTTATTTCCTTTGAAATCTTGTTATGGTTTTACCTTTCCATTTAGGTCTTTCAACTACCTGGAATTTATTTTTTATATGACAAAGGGGATACAAATTTTTATTTCTCAAGGATCACAAAATGTCCCAACACCATTTATTAAATACATCCTCTACTTTCTTCCTACTGATTTGCAATACAATGCCACTGGGTCAACTATCAAATATTCTCAGTTTCTGGGCTCTCTCTCTGTTCTGTTCCATTGGCCTATCTGTCTATTCCTGTGACAAAACCACAGTCTTAATTGATATAGATTATAAGTCTTGATTTCTGACAAAGCAAGCTCACCCACTCTGTTCTTCAAAAATATCTTGTATGTCCCTGGCATTTTGTACAAAATAATATGATAGGAATAAATCCAAATATCAGCATTACAACAAATTGTGAATGGACTAAATGCTTGAGTTAAGGACAAAAATTATCCGTACAGGTTCATAATGACAATCCATCTGAATGCCTTTTAAGAGGCTCATCTAAAATATAAAGATCAAGAAAGGCTGAAAAGGAAATCTTTCCCAAAAAATGACAAAAGACATTTACTGTGCTAATACTGACCAAAAGCAGCTTTGTGTCATTTTGCTAACATCAGATACAGTAGACTTTAAGGCAAAAAAAAAATTACTAGACGTTAGGAGGAGTACTTCATGTGATATCAAAGTCTACTTACAAAGAAGATATACCTAATAACACAGGCTTAAAATATATAAAGCAAAAATTGACAGAACTGCAAGGTATAGACAAATACCTATTCACCCTCAAAGACTGTAACACCATTCAGATCAAACAGCAAATAAATTAAATAAATAAATAACTTATTAACATATAGTAAATTAGAATACACGATTAAGTTTGAAATAATAAACATAAGTGGAATATCGACCAAACAACTGCTGAATACACATTCTTCTTAGGTACATACAAAATAGTTTTAAAAATTGACCTAGTACTAGGCATTAAAGCAAGTCTCAACAAGCTTAGTATTATACAGAGCATGTTTTAGGACCACAATGCAGTTAAGGGAGAAACAAAAAATGCAAAGATAACTAGAAAAACTGAAAGACTAGTAATTAAACACTTTTAAATATCTTGTGAGTCAAAGAAGAAATTAGCATGGACATTAGAAAATATTTAAGAAACTGTATAAAAATGTTTTTTACGCACACTTTGGGATATGCCTAAAGTAGCTGCGGTGCCATAGATCACTTTTGTGTGGACTTTCTAGCCATGGTCTTGTAACTCCCACCCAAGTGACTGGGCAGGACTGTGCAGATACGGTAATTGTGGCCCACCAATGGGATTGGTCAGTTTTGCCATCCTGCGGGGCTTGAAATGAGCTGCCCTAGATGCGGGAAAGAGAGAATCCCACCAACTACCAAAGAAGAACAGCCAGGAGCCAGCATGTCCTTTGGACCTGGGATTCCTGCACTGAGAAGCTCCTGGAAGCAGGAGACAGTGAGAGAGAGCGAGATATAACCCTAAAGATGGTAAGAAGTGGTGGCACGAATAGACCTGGCTGCAGAGACCCAGCAGCAGGGGACAGTGTGGTGCACTTCCTGGCCCTTGGAGAGAGAAAACTGAGTGCCTTTGGGCAGAGGCTGAGGGCCAGGGAGAGGCGTGCCTGCGAGCACAGCTGGGAAGAGGCTGTCCTGATGGAAGAACTGTATCTTGAGTGTTCCTAAGCCTGAATACAACCTGTTACTTCCCTAAGAAACCCCATAATCGTGAGTATGGTCTGTGAGTTCTGTGTGGCCACTGCAATGAATGAATTATCGAACCCAGCAGAGAAGTAGAGAGTGCTGTGGGAGGAATGGTTGGTGTGGAGTTAGTTAAAATGGAGGAGAGAGGAGGCATGCTTGATGTCCGCTTCACAGAAATCAGCCTTGGGTTGTTGATCTTGACTCTCCTTCCCCCTTGTGAAATTAGAGGTCAGATACCACCCCCATGCCATTTTTATAGTAGCCATTAAAAAAAAAAAACCTGTTCCCATTGAGTGGATTCCGACTCACAGCAACCCTACAGGACATAGTAGAGCTGCCCCATGGAATTTCCAAAGAGCAGCTGGTAGATTCAAACTGCCGACCTTTTGGTTAGCAGCTAAGCTCTTAACCACTGCGCCACTAGGGCTCCAAAGTAGCCATATATATTTAAAAAGAAAAGCTGAACATTAATGAGCTGAACATCATCTTTAGAAGTTAATATAAAATAGCATATTAAACCTTGCTTTCTTTTGGATTTTTTTCTCCTTTTCTCTCCTCTACTAGTTTTATATATTGCCTCTATTCTTAGGGTGGTTACCATAGAAACTCTGATATGCATTAACTTCTTCAAGTCTATAGTTAATGTCTTTGCCCTCCTCCAAAACAACAAGGACCTTAGAACCATATAACACTATTCACACCTCCAGGAGTGCTACTGTCCCCCATTTTAATTCTATTTTAACCTCATAAGTTACTATTAGTATTTCCATAATCAGTGTCCAACATATTTTTTTCCATATCTTTACCACTGTGTTTGCATTTTATTTATCTTGCATCTAAGGCTTTCCATCTGGGATCACAGTGCTTACCTGAAACATATCACTTTAAACTTCCTTTGGGGAGGGCATGCTGCTGGTGGCCAAACTCTCCCTAATTTTATTTCACTCTTTTTCCATAAGGAAATTTCACTAGGCATACAATTGCAGGTGGATAATTATTTTCTATTCATACACTGAAGATATAATTCCATTTTTCTGACTGTTGTGAAGTGTACCATCGGACCATGTGCTGTTCTTCTGTAGGTGATCCATCTCTATGACTGATTCTAAGATCTTCCCTTTCTCTTGGAGGATCTGCAGTTTCTATGACTAGATATAAATTTCTTTTTTATTTACACTGCCTGGGATTCACTGGGCTTTCTGAGTCTGTTCACTGGTGCTTTTCATTAATTCTAGAAAATTCATCTGATCTCGTCAAATACTGTCTCTGTCCCACTGTCTGTTATGGATTCCATTGTGTCCCCCCTAAAATATGTGTTGGAATCCTAACCTCCATACTTGTGGATATAATCCCATTTGGGAACAGGGTCTTCTTTATTATATTAATGAAGCCCTACCAGTAGAGTGTGTCTTAAACTTACTGTATTCTTATGCATATAATGCCCATCTTCTTCTACATTTGTTTGCCAATTACTCCCTCTCTCTGTGAGGTATTTTTGTAAGCACACATGCAAATTTTTTTTACAAAAACATGTAAAAAAAAATTGGCACACTGGTGCTTCTGAAAATACCTTGCAGTGGGAGGGAGCGATTGGCAAACAAACATAGAAAGCATGCAGTATTTAAGTAAAAATACAATAATTATTTTTGAGCTATTAAAGAGATTAGATACTTATATAACTTAACAACAAAAAGACAAAAAACACAATCGAAAAACAGGTAAAGGATTTTAACAAATATTTCACCAAAGAGGATATTCCAATGGCCAACAAGCACATGAAAAGATGCTCAAAATCATTAGCCAATAAAAACCATAAAACCCACTGCTGTCAAGTCAATTCCAACTCATAGGAACCCTATAGGGCAGAGCAGAACTGCCTCACAGGGTTTCCAAGCAGTGGCTGGTGGACTCGAACTGCTGATCTTCTGGACAGCAGCCATAGCTCTTAACCACTGTGCCACCAGGGCTCCTCATTAGCCAATAGGAAGATGCAAATCAAAATCACAATGAGATACCATCTCACCTCCATCAGAATAGCAATGATTAAAAAAATGGAAAACAATAGGTGTTGGTGAGGTTGTGAAGAAAGTGGAGCCCTTATCCATTGCTGGTGGGAATGTAACATGGTACAGTGGAAAAGTTTGTGGTTTCTCAGAAAGTTGAACATAGAATTACCATATGACCCAGTAATCCCACTCCTAGGTATATACCCAGAGGAAGTGAAAGTAGGAATGCAAACAAAAACCTGTATACCAATGTCCATTGCAGCTCTTTTCACAACAGCCAGACTACAGAAACTACCTAAATGTCCACCAACAGAAGAACAGATAAAAAAATGTGGTATATATACACAATAGAATATTATTCCTTCATAAAGAGAAATAAAGTCCTGATGCATGCCATAACATGGATAAACCTTGAAAACATGATGAGCAAGATAAGTTGCAAAAGGGCAAATACTGCATGATCTCACTTACATGAAATAAGCAAATTATATGTTGTTGACATTGAGTCGATTCTGACTCATAATGACTCCATGTGACACAGCAGAACTGCCCCATAGTGTTTTTGAGGCTGTAATCTTTACAGAAGCAAATTGCCAGGTCTTTCTCCCTCGGAGCAGCTCGGCAGGTTTGAACTGCCAACTTTTTGGTTAGCAGCCATGAGCTTATTATTAGTGGTTGCTAGGAGTGGGAGGGAGGGGGAAAGGGGGAAGTTTTGCTTACAGGGCATTGAGTTTATGTTAATGGATAGTGGTGGAATAATCTGGAAAAGGACAGTGAGAACAGTTTCACAACCTGAAGAATGTAAGCAATGTCACTGAATTTTACATGTAGAAACTGTTGAATCAGAGTATGTTTTGTTGTGTATTTTTTCACCACAATAAGTTTAAAGGAAAAAAAAATAGCAGATTAGGCACAGAGACAAGTGAGCATAAACAGGGGGAAAGATAGATGCCATATGGCAATTGCCAGGGAACCAAGGAACACCAAGGCTAGACAAGCTAAGAGACAAAGATTTTCCCCTAGAGCCAACCGAGAGCAAGCCTTCCCCTACAGCCCTGAATTCAGTGCCCAGAATTTGGACTTCTAGCCTCCTAAACTGTGAAAAAATAAATTTCTGTTCTTTAAAGCCACCCACTTGTGGTATGTGTTACAGTAGCACTAAGAAATTAAGACATCCCCTTTCCTTCCAGAGCTCTGGTTAGGTACAGTAGAACTCCTCATTCTATCCTCCAGATTTCAATCTTCCTTTCAATGTACTTTAGATTTCTGTCTGTTTTATTCTGAATGCTTTTTCGGATCTACCTTCTATTCTAGTTCATTAATTCTCTCTTCAACTGTATCTAATCTGCTAATAAATCTGTCAACTGAGATTTTTATTTCAATTATATTTTTCATGTCTGATACCTGAATTTGATTCTTCTCACTTCTGTTTAATGCTTGTATTTTCAAGTATCCCTTATTTATTTATAAACACAAAATATAATTATATTTAATGTCTCATAATTCTAATTTCTAAGATTTGTATAGTTCTGCTTCTATGTCTGTTGTTTTTGTAAATTCTTATTCATGGTATTTTGCTTCCTTGTGCATTAGTGGTTTTTGGCTGTGAATTGCTCATTTCCCTTAAAACCTTTTACGTGGAAATTCCTTGATGGGACAAACATAGGTTCCTCCAAAGAGAATTATGTACATTAGCTCCTGCCATGCACTTGAGGACACTACCAGTCTGAGACAACTTTAAATAACCTGACTTGAGGTTTATCGATCTGCTCAGTGAGTATACTGCAGGCACACTAGGAGGTGAGCCTCTGACTATGAATGCTTATGGCTTATTCACCACACCCACTGTCTTAGTGCTAAGGTTCAAGACTGACAATTCTCCTTGCAGTGCTGCAGACCAGCTTCCAGATTTATTTTTAGTTCACCCTTTCAATGAGGTTACAGCCTTTCAGGTCATAATCCATGGGGTACTCCCCATGTTGGGGGACCCTGAGCTTTGACTCAAGTTTTCCTGACTGGATAATAATGCTAACTTAAATACTCCACCTAACTCTTGCGTTTCTGGATATCCCTGTGTCCTTGTCAGTTTGTCAATATATTTAGGAAGATGTTTTTCTATTATGTCAACCACATTATTTATTGCTTTCTAGAGAAGAATCTGTCACATGGAACGTAATCTGCCATATTACTAGAAACAGAAGTCACTTTCTCCATTTATCTGTTCATCCCTCCTTATTCTTTCCTTTTCATCATCCCACTCTAGAAAATGGCTCAGGTAAACCGCAACTGACTTGGAACATGTACAAAATATGTCTTCTGTCCCCAGATATGCCCTAACCTCACCATGGGCCTCCATCTTCAGGTCTCCAAGTAACATAATTTTATTCTTAAGAAAACATAGATATAAAAATTAATAAATATGAAATTAGTAAGTGAAATCAAGTATACATGCTACAGTGATACACACCTTCCACTGATGAAACAAATTCAATCTTGTCAGCTGTATTTGTAGTTATTACATTGAAAAATGTCTTCAACTTTTCATTTGCTGTAAAATTCTATATTACAAAAATAAAACAAAATGATTACTTCTGTAGTTAAACCAAACTCATTAATTTTATTGTGTAATATGTGATACCTTCATGGAGAGGCTCCACTTGTGGAAATTTGCAGTCAGAGGTTCAGTAGATAATGACAGCAACAAGTCAGCAGGAAAATTCCGGAACATTCTACCCTGTAATGTAGCTGAAATAATTTAAGCATAAAAAAATATAAAATCCACTGAAGTCACTTATCAGCAGCCAAAGAAAGGCCATTATTAAGACATAATCAAGACTTCCACAGAAGAATTCCAATCAAATACAAAATATATTCAAATATGTTCCAGATTTGAATACTTTTCTTCCAGAATATTAACATGAGTAAGTAAAATTTCTTCTCATGTGAGAATTAATTAGCAGAACAGCCATAAGTGTAAGCAGCGAATCTTAGGTTGGCAGCTCTGAAAAACATAGGTAAAGTTTTCCATGTGTGTATGTATTGTTTTCCCGGGAAAGTATCCACAACTTTCAACATATTTTCAAAGGAACTTAAAAACGTTAAAAACACCAACAATGCAGAAAGGGACATTAACCACGCCAAGAAATTTCTACTCAGCAAACAGATCACAAAAGTAATATACCTTAGTGGCCAACACTCAAGGCTCTGTAGTCACACATGTAGACTCAAATATCAGAGAAGGGTTTTAAAACAAAATCCTGATAGGGCTCAAAGCCCTGATTCCAGCTGTCCCTAAACCTGGCCCCTTCTTCTTGCTAATGCCTTCCATGAGAATCCCAGTACTCTTGAAATATTCCTTTTTTGTATAAATTGGGTTGTAACCACCACAACCAAAATAGTCTGACCTAATTTAGATACTCTCCACAGAGATTCTGCAATGATTAAATGAGATACGAGAAAGAGCTTTGAAAACTATAAAGTGTTCTATAGGTTCCAAGTATGACCACCATCACTTTCCTTCCAAAGTCCTTATGAGAGCAAGTTAGTAGTATTCATTTCTGAAGACACAGAGATAAAGTAATTTGTAAGAATCATTATCTATTTACACAACCAAGGGAAAAACTTGGGTATTAGAATAATTCTAGGTAACATTTACTTGTATTTAAAGTGCTTAGCAGACTGCCTGGAGCATATTATCGTACTTAATCCTCACAAACAACTCAAATAAGGAAACTGGACCAGAGAGAGGTTAAATGATTTCCCAAGGCCAAAGTGACAAAGCCAGGACTCAAAATTAGGTCCAATTTCAGAGTTCTTAATCACACATGGTCCAGATATCACTAGAAGCAATGAGTTATCGTACTTTAAAACTCCTTAAGCCATTCTCACAAATGAGTCCAAAGGTGATAATTCACATCTCCAACCTGAGTAAGTAATTTAAGAATTAATAAATTTTATGAGCATTTTTAACTGATATTCACTACTTAAACTCAACAGCAATAGGTTTGGTTTGGGGTTTTGGTTTATTCCTGCCCAGTGACTCTTTTTAAAAGGATGGGAAATAGAATTCTTACCTCCAGTGAAGTTCAGTGGCAGTGACAGATTCTCAGTTTTTGTGGAAGTTAGTAAGTTCTCTTCACTCACCAGTAATGTGAGCGCTTCAAATCCCAGACATGTGCCCCACACTGGGAAATAGTCTCCAACATCAAAACTCTTTGCAGAGTGAGAGACAGAAAAAAATAAGTTTATTCTATACTTTTCAAAAACAAAAATTATACATCAGGCTTATCATTAAAAGGCAGTTCCCTGAGTTATTCAGGGACTTCTGAAAGATCTTCCATGATCCATAAGTGGGTTATCACTCAAACTTCTCTTCATCCCTCCATCAACCACCAAACAAGTGACAGCTAGGGACCATAAATATTACAGACAATGCTAGATAGATGCCTATTTATAAATCTTCTACAAATGTCATCCCTTTGAATGATTTTCTAGTTTTTAATACACTATGAGGCTTTTCTTCCATTATCTCAGAATTTATGGCAACAGCCACATTATACCGCCTTCAGCTAATCAGATTTAAATCAGAAGAGAGCCATGATCTGGAGAAAAAGAACAGTTAGTCAGGAAAAGGCTAAGCAAAAGTAAGATAAATTTTTATAAGAGTAAAAGTTGTCAGCGAAAAAAGTACCAGTGTATTGAGTTTCTTCTACCTGCATCATAACACCATGACTGGGGAAATAAGTATTCTAGTAGCTGAATTTTCTGGTTAACTGAAGCTTAAACCCATTTTTGCTGACAATTGCAAAAATGAATTTTAACAGCAACTTTCTAAAAGCAGGAGTCCCTGAGTGGTGCTACCTGTTAACAAACTGGACTGCTAACCAAAAGGTTGGCAGTTCGAACTCACCCAGAGATGCCTCAGAAGAAAGGCCTGGCAACCTACTTCCAAAAAATCAGCCATTGAAAACTCTATGGAGCAAAGGTCTACTCTGACACACATGGGGTTGCTATGAGTCAGAATCAACTCAACAGCAACTGGTCTGGGATTTTTGTTTGTTTGTTTGTTTTCTAAAAGCAGAACTTTTCTTTCATAGATTGTAAAATATAACCTAATAGGCACTCATTTAAAATGAGGACCCTGGGTTGTTTTTTTCTGTTCCTCACTGAGAAAAAACACAAAATTATATTAATTCCTATGCTTCCTATACCTATGGAGGATTTTAATACTTTATATCCAGTTATGCCAATTTTATTTTAGAAGTTAGTGCTTTGTACTTTAAGTCATTGGTCTTACTTAATTTATTGCTAATAAACACAAAACTGTTCTCTGTTTCTATATGTGCCATATTTAATTTTCAACTAAATGTAATTTCCTTGATTGCTGGAACCACGCCTTTTATTTGTTGTGGATCCTCCAGATGGCCCGGCACAGCAAAGGCCACAGAGTGGACACAGAATGGAACTAAGAGACTAATCACTTCTTAACGCTCTTTCAATGAGGGTTTTGTGGACCCCAGTAGCTGTAACTACATAAGAAGTTCAAGGTTAGTTACTAAGCTTTTTACCTTGGAAATCTTCAAGTAACTCTTTTTCTTTTTTTTTTTTTAAGGAAAAAAGAGATCTTTGGGTCTTATGGATTGCTGGCTTCTTTTTTCTCTTACTTAAACAAATTACATGAAGTCTCTATATGCAAAAAAGGAAACGAGTGACTACTTACGGTGTTTATATATTTCTCAAATGCATCTTACATTATTCACATTGTAAAATTTCAACTGCATTCACTAGTTTTTCAAAAACTATCCACCAAGAATGTACTAAGTACACACCACCATACCAGATACAATGAGGAATGTCTTCAAAGAGTATTGGAATCATAAAATTTGGTAAGACATGAACAAATAATCTCAAGATAGTCTGTCTTCTGGAATATAAGTTCCTCAAAGGCAGAGACTTTAGTCATATTATTATAGAGTTGGTACGAAATAAATGCTTCAACAATTCCACAATAAAATACTCTAAGAGGTAAAGAGGGCAGGATGCCATTCCAGCTGGGGTAGACAGAGAAATTCTATAAAAAGAGAGAAGTGCCTTAGCCTCAAAAAGGGGCTAAGATATAAATTAGGGATGGAGTAGACAGAAACAGATTTGATAGATTAAAATGTAGGAGGATACAGGGCGTATGCTGGAAATACAAGCCTAACTCCAATTACATAAGAAAAGGCTGGAAAGGGGGCGTGAGGACACACTTTGAAAGGTCTTGACTCAAAGACTATAAAAGGCTACAAGTTATTTAATAGCCAAGTGTCTCACATGCTAAAGTCCCTTAGGGAAATACTTAACAAGGGTGGGAAGATCCCAGGGCCAGCAAGATTAATTAGAAAATTTCTTTAATAGTTCAGAGGAGAAACAGTAAGAGTCTGACCTCTGGTACCAAAGGAACGCCCGATATGAGACATTATAAGGCGGGGGCGGCAGGAGGCTCTGCTAGTAATTGGCTGAGTCCAGGGTAAGTGCGAGGAAAGGGCATGAAGGATTCTGTGAGTTGGGAAGGGAAGATTTCAAGAGGAGATGAAAATTAAAAACATGAGAACAATGCTTGGTGCATAACAAAAAGAAAAGAGGACATACAGAGATAGGGGAGCCATGAAGCCACCGTGAGACCCTGGTTCACAGGAGTCAGCATGCACAGAGAGGGCCTGGTCAGCAGCACTCTGCCAGACCCCTGTGAATCCCAATTACAGATGAAGCACCCAGAAAACAGGTGGGATAGCCATGAGCTGCAGAAGAGCAGGCCCTCCCAGGTTAAGGAGGTGATGATGCTATAGGGTCATACTGGAAAATTACCAAAAAAAAAAAAAAACCCATCTGAAATAATAAACAATAACTGATACTTACCTTCAGGGCAGAGTTATAAAATATTCTGGCCACTTTGGCATAACTTGAGGTTCTTATGTTAACACTTCCTCCAGGGAAAAGGATCCTGAAACAACATCAAAGGAAAATCAAAAAACTGAAGAAAAATAGAAAATAAAAAAATATTGGCAATGCTACCCACTCAGAAACCACCCCAGTTAAGAACACTTTATTGCATGTTCTTCCAAAAGTTCTTTGATAAACAAGTTTATTTAATGAAATAGTGTGCCCCAGACTCTCTGTTAACCCAGAACTAAAACCATTCCCAAAACCAATTCTTCAAACAAACATTAGACTAGACTATAAAACATAAAACACTACTCGTGAAAATGTGGTTCTTAGTTCAAGCAGATACACGAGACTAAATGGGCAGCTCCCATCCGGAGGCAGGATGAGCAGGCAGAAAGGGATAGGAGCTGGCTGAATGGACACGGGAAACCCGGGATGGAAAGGGGGAATACGCTGTCACATTATAGGGACTGCAACTAGGGTCACATAACAATATGTGTATAAATTCTTGTATGAGAAACTAACTTGAGCTGTCAACTTTCACCTTAAGCACACTAAATAAGTGAAAGAAAAAAAGTCTCTTTCTGCGAGCAAGCTACCCTTTGTGGTCAAGTCAGAAGACAGAAAAGTTTTTCCATGTACAATTCAAGAAACCATCTAAAAAATAACCAATCAATATTCTCAAACCTAGTACTTATAAATTGCCTAAGCAAGCAGTATGCCATGTCATTTAAAGTGGCTTCAAAACATTTAAGCCAAGCCTTAAAAGAATAAAAACTATGTCACACATTTAAATACATATATACTATGCATATCTACATAGCCTGCATATATTTCCTAACCTGCCTTCTCTGCTTTGCAGGACTTCTGCATCTCACGACAAAATAATTCCTATAAAAGAACTTAGAAAATCAATGTGTTATACCACTCTAAGATAGTTACACAGAAATACGGATGATACAGTGATACTTGTGAGAGTCGGACTTGATGAGACTGCCTTGTTTTTCCAGGTCTTGCAAGTTTTTCGCCTTTGACAGGGTACAGCTTACCAGTTTTCTATCGCTCTCTATTAGTAGAAAATATTTTGAGTTTTCCTTCTCTGATGGGTTTCTGCCTTACACAGGTTTCGGCTTTCACAGGTTTTACTGTATTTACATGTATTTTTTTACAAAAGCACCAACATATATGTATATACTGTATCAAACAAATGCTGCCAACTTACCCATTAATAGATTTGAAAAGCTTTTCGTATTCTTTATCAGTAAGATTAAGCCTGAAAACAATAAAAATTGTTATAAAATATCCATTTCCAAAACTTAAGAAAAAAAGTAAGGCTCTAAATGAAGTCACCACATTAATTTTTAAAAGCCAGATGAAAAATAATTCTTAAACTCCCGGCAATATTACTTCTCCACCTTCCTAGAGGCATTTTTTTTTCAAACTACTTAAAAGCCATATAGTTGTATCTTTATTTTGCTAATTGGACAAGTAAACACGTCCTTCTGTGGTCCAATGTCATTCGCGATTGTGAACTATGTGCTAAAAGCACGAAATGTGAACATCAGTAATTTCTCTGAACATTCAACAGCCTTATGTAGAAACTAAACAAAGAGCTTATTAACATGCCTATCTTAGGTTCAGCAGCTCTAGATGATAAAAACAACCAATCCTATAAATTCCAAGTCACTGCTTCATCCCACACCCACCACCACTTGCAACTCTTTGGGAACTACTGTGTATTCACAAGTCAAACCTAAAGACAGACTTTCAGGTAAAGAATTTAACTTTGCGCAAAGAAATCTGGTCTTTCTCCTAGGTTCCTGAGAGATAATGCTAAACTCTTAGAATCTCCTGAGTAATTGAGGTGTCATTGTTACCTAAGAGGCCCCCAAACCACACCTAAGGGTTTGTGGTAATATGGTGAGGGCTGGCCAGGACAGAAAGACCACCTTGTGATATGGCCAGGCCTGGGGGGTGGGAGGGGCATGATTCAATCAGTCATGTCTTCATAATGAGGTTCCAATAAAAGCTCCAGACCTGTAAGCTCCATGGGCTTCCTGGTTGGTGAGAAACATGGGAAGGTAGCATGCCCATTGGAACATGAAAGCTCCACGTTGGCAACTTTCTCAGCCCTTGCCCTATGCATCTCTTCGTTTGTAACCTTTTTTGCTATAATAAAGCTGTAATCATAAGTATAGTGCTTTCCATGAGTTCTGTGAGTCATTTCAGCAAATTATCGAACCCAAGGGAGTAGCAGGGCCAGCAGGTCAGAAGTGAGGGGGGCTGGGAATCCTGAGTTTACAGTTGGTACCTAAGGGTGTAGAAAGAACCAACAGGAATTTGATGCTTCTGTTACAGCAGCACTAAGAATCCAAGACAGACACCCAAGCTGCCTCTTCTCTTCCTCCTCCTGCTAGAGATCTTAGGCTTCAGGAAAAGCTCACTCTGGGGTCTGATGTTCTGACCAGACAGGCAGCAGGGCTGGGGAGATAAAATTCAATCAACGACCACGGAAACTCTAGCTGGCATCTATCAAGGGCCATGAACCTCCTTGGGTGGCTGCGGTGGAGGGTCTGAAGCTGTGCTTAACTCAAGTGAGTAACATGATCCCTGGAGTATAAAGCTGGATGGGTTATGAGACTTTGGAGTCCTTCTCCTACAGTGCAAAGTGGGGCATGCATAGTTTCCATCCGGCCCAGATGGCCTTCGGCACCTAGAGGGCATCGGTTCACTGTGTAACTGTTCCTGTTGTTTCCCATCCACTTTCTGTGAACAGTAAAATGGCTTTCACTTTGCCAACACTGTGTAACTGTTCCCTGTGTACTATTGTATCAGACAAAAGGTTGATGCTACTGGCTGGGGTCCTCATCCTAATAGTCTTGTGGCTGTTTGGGATCTTAGGACTGCCTCTGAGGCAACCTGCACGTCCAACACAGTGAGAGGGATCCCAGGGAGGGACCCCTGGGAGCCCCTGAGCTTGGGACTGGTATCCTGAAGGGGTAATGGGAGAACCTCAAATCTGCAGCCAGCAGGTCAGAAGTCAGGGTGTCACGTGGACTAGCAAACCTGCAGCTGACATCTGAAGTCTTGGGCCTATTTGGCATTCTGAAGGATGGTGTCCTTTTAACTTGTGAGATCTGACCTAATTCTGGGTGGTTAGGGTCAAAGGAAGCAGTGCTACATGGGCAGCTGGTGTCAGAAATGAACAGAGAAATGTAAAGTGGGGATATGATATTTGATTACTGATCCAAACACAGACTATAGAAAATTACTATAGATGACAGACAAATCAATGTAGACACTCTTAATCTGTCCATGTAATTATTCTGGAGCACCTTTGATCAAACACCCCTTAAGGGTCTCCTATCAATCACCATGTTACTGATGATTTTAGCTCCTTTCTCCAGAGAAAATCAATGGGATTAATCTGTGACAACTGGCTACAATCTTTAATTAGGTCACAGTAAGATCTGTTTGTTCTTCCAAAAGATAAATTAAATGCAAGAACAAGGGAAGAGAGCATCATGTTTGTGAAATTCCTGCAAAAACTCTCCTACATTTAGCAATCTTCTGTTTCT